TATATGGTGAAGCACCAACAGAACTCTACACCCCTGTGACATAGGCATACCGAAGAGACGGCAAATAACCATCCCAATCCAAATGCTGAAAGTTCATATACTTCGCAATCATCCCTTTGAACGTCCGAATGAGCCGTTCCACTAGACCATCTAATTGTGGATGATAAGCACTCGTAAAAGTGTGGCGTATCCCCAACCAAGACATCAAAACATGAAATGCCTCAGCCATAAATGCAGGACCATTATCTGAAAGAATCCGCTCTGGACAAGAATGCTGGAACACCACTTGATTGAGTAGGAAATATCCAACAGCAGTTGCAGAGGTGCTAGTAAGAGCACCAACTTCCACCCAACGAGTCAAGTAGTTAGAAGCAATAATAACATACTCATTGCCAGCAGTCGACCGTGGAAAGGTCTCATAAGATCAAATGCCACCAACTCAAACAGACGGGAAACTGCAATTGACTCCAACCGTCCTTCCGCAGCACAAGGGGGAATATTACGAACTTGGCACCAAACGCAGCTACGCATATACTGGATAACATCACGTCGCATCTCCGGCCAATAGAAAGACCTGCGCAGCTTCTCGGTCACCCGACGATGTCCTATATGCCCACCTAGAACAAGAGAATCATGGTAGGCATGGAGAAACCGCGGAATAAAGACAGAAGGCACCACTAGCCGTAAATGATCATCAGGATCCGTCCCCACAAAATAAAGAAGGCCATCTTCAAGGTGATATTGAAAATGTAAATGCCGGAAAGGCAAGTCATCAGCAAGTGATGCAGGATTCTCAAACGCATCTCGAAGCCTTCGAATCCACGGCTCAATCTTTTGAGCCTTGCAAGCCTCATCAAGAGAAAGTAGATCTTGCTCTGCGCCTTGAGGACACTGAACGTCAAGTACAGCAACCGCCGACGCCACAAAATCCTCATCTAGAAAATCCACAGATACTGGAACAACAAGCTCATCAGAAACATGAGAAGAGAGTGGAGAAGGAAGAGGAGCTCGAGAAAGGGCATCAGCATCAGCCATAGAACTCCTTGGGCGATGAACAACATCAAAATCATATATCTAAAGCTTCAAAGCCCACCGAGTAATACGACCAACAAGGTTCTTCCGCTTCAATAATGAAGTAACGGTAGCATGGTCACCTTCAAGTAACGTCCAAGAACCATGTAGATATGCATGAAGTTTCTTGAAACCCCAAACTGCCGCTAAACACTCCTTCTCTATCGTGGAGTAGTTCACCTCTGCTAGTTGTAATGTACAGCTTATATATGCAATGGAATGACGCTGATCAAGCACACTCGGGCTTTCTTGCATTAATACACTTCCAAGACCAATATCAGAAGCATTGACGTGCAAAATAAAAGGTCAAGTGTAGTCAGGATATGCCAAAACCGAAGGAGTCGTCAATAGATCTTTGAGATCCCTGAACGCCCACTCACAATCCGGAGACCAGATGAAAGATGATGTTGATAACTTCAGCAACACTCGTAATGGTGCTGTGCGATCAGAAAGATGATCCACAAAACAACTAAGATACTGCACCTTGCCTAAGAAGCGCTGCACATCATTCACACACTTTGGAGTAGGGAACTTTAAAACGGCTACAAGTTTGTCAGAATCAACTTGCAAACCCTCACGAGAAATACGGTACCCAAGATAAGTTATGTCCTTGGACCTAAACACACACTTCGACCACTTCAACTTTAAATCAACATCCCGTAGCCAATCCAACACTTTACACACATCACGAATATGCTCCTCTCATGTCCCCTCCAAGTGAATCAAAACATCATCAATGAAGTCAGTAGTCACCTCTAGCATATCACAAAGAACTTCGTCCATCATCTACTGGAAAGTTGCTGGAGCATTGTTCAAACTAAACAGCATCACCAAGAACTCGTACAAACCAAATAGTGTACGAAAAGTAGTCTTAGGAATATCTTCTTCGGCCATCGGTACTTGCCAGTACCCAGAAGCAAGATCTAGCTTGGTGAACCAACGACTTCGCCCCAGACGATCCAAGAGATCAGTAGTGTGAGGAAGAGGGTACACATCTGGGGTCGTCACTTCATTTAACGGACGATAGTCGATGTAGAAACGAATACTCCCATCAGGTTTTGTCACAAGATGAGGTTCACATGCCCAAAGACTCCGCGACTTCCGAATAACACCCTTCTTCAACATCTCCTTGACGTTTGCATGTAAAATCTTGATCTCCTTGGGTGACCGACGACGAACATAAACCTTGATTGGACGAGCATCCCCGGTTGGAATGGGATGACTTGTGGCAATCTTGGCCCCAGATGATAGGTCAAAGTCAAAGAGATCAGAATACTCCTTCATGAGCCGGTCAACAGCTTCAACATAAAGATCGTTGGAGGGATTGGAAAAGGGAAGAGCAGAACAAGATGGAAACACAGGAGGAAATAGTGGGGGAACAAAAGTAATGGAAGCAGAGGTAAAAGTAGAGGGATGAAGAGGTACGAAAGTGAGAGGAATGGATGAAACATAAGGAAGTATGAGACAAAGGGGAGAAGCCTCAAAGTCACACTTGGCATGATTGCGCTACAACCAATCCATACCAAGAATGAGGTCAAAAGCTTGACTTGGCACCACCCGCAACGACTGCAGCTCAAGCTCGAGATCGCCCACACACACAACCAGGTCCGCCTCATCTCGTGCACATGCATGTGTACGGCCGTTGCCATAAAGAATGAAAACTAGGTCCGCTGCACGACGCAAGTGTAGACAATAACGTGTGGCAACAGGTCGAGCAATAGAAGATAAACTCGAACTTGTATCAACCAACATGAAGAGAATAATAGGAGACCTCTTGTTATAAAAACGAGCTTGGAAAGTAAACACTAGATGAACTGGTGCCGAGTGAACCCCTTGATGATACTCCCGAAAGAAAGATGGAGGGGTCACTAACTTATTCGCGCAAGGTCCCTCCATTACTCGCGCGACTCCTCGTTTCCCGGATGCACCGTGGTGTCCAAACCTTCCACTGCAGCAGCACCAACAGGACGTTGATGATGCCAAGGTTTCCACCCAGGAAATGGAGGTTGCCAATCTAGAAAGCACCGACAACGCCGATAAGTATGACCAACTTCATCACACGCTCAGCAACGAACATTACGGCCACGACCACGTCCTCACCCTTGTCCGTGGACTCGAGTAGCAACAGCATCAACCTCCATTGGAACAGGACCATCACTCATAGGAAGTGGAGCTGAAGGACGTGCAACGAGAAGTGGAAGAGGCGACGTTTCATAATGTTGTGCCAAGCAAAGAGCATCATCAAGGGTAGTAGGAGCAAGTGCATGCACAAATCCAACAAGATCTTGACGAAGTGCTGGCCACAACATTCCTATCTTGATCCACTCCGATATATTTGGCTCTGCACGAAGTAAAAAACTTCGAAAACAAACGCCAAATTGCATCACCGACTCAGATGGCCCTTAGCGAAGACGATGCAATTGTTGGAAGGCATCATCACAATCATCAGCATATCTGAAGGTGCATTTGAAGACGTCCGGAAGAACACCCCAATCCCCACGAGTGGCCGCGCTCAATCCATTGTACCACTGCAATGCTGTCCCTTGGAGACATTTGGGAAACTTACGCAAACGTCGAGCATCATCCCAAGAATGATATGTGGCAATCACCGTGAAGTGATCGAATCAATGGTACACATCATCCCTAGGATTCTTACAAAAGAACTCCGGCCGAACGCGAGGATTGGCACCAAGAGCAGGAGGAGTTGGACCACGTGCCGTGAATGCCGTCATCAATTGAGTTTGGTTGTTCAATTGCAAGCGCATAGCATCAAGCAATTGGACCAACTGCTGCTCTAGAGTCCAAGGAGGAGATTGCTGATCTGCCATAAAGATGAACGAAAAAGAGAGAGCAAAAGAAAAGAAATGACAAAAAGCTAAAAGGAAATAGTAGATTTAGACAATGCAAAAAGCTAGATCTAAACCAAAATCCTGAAAAGGAAGAACAAAATAAAGGAAATGGAAAAAGCTAGATCTAAACAATGCAAAAGCTAGATCTAAACCAAAATCCTAAATCCAAGCACTCTTCAAGAACAATAAAGGTGCCCCTCATCTCCTCTAATGTGAGTGCATGGAATATGGAAAAGGGAATACAGAAATATGCATATCAATTAGCCCAAAAACCCCAAGTTATATACAGGAGCGAATGGTCCGGATTGAAACTAATCCGACGGCTACCAAAATTCCACTACGCTAATATTAGTATACGGCATTTTATAGTTGTATTTAGATTTTTTATAATAATTATTTATAAAGATAAAGGAAGTATAAATAATTTCAGTAAGTTATATAGTTTTAGCTAACAAATTTGTAGATTCATATAACATGTCTTTATTCTATATAAACCATATTATAAAATAATTGAAAATTTATTTATATTTAAGTTTATTTTTATAAAAACATTTATATGTTACTTGACTTGATTTTTATCAGAAACTTTTATATTAAAAGAATAAGAGAAACATTCTAAGATAATTAGACATAAAGAATTCAGTATTAAAAAGATAAATAAGTAAGTTAATTGTTTGACTAAAAAATATTTAAAATATTTTTAACTAGCAAAAAAAAGAACATATAACACAACTATAAAATGTTACATTATTTGTTGGTAGGAGTAAAATTTAATTGATATGCACATATTAACTAAATGAATTTTATATATATATATATATATATATATATATATATATATATATAGTCTCTATTAAATAAATATTATATTCTGCAACAAATTTTTATCTAAGCATATTCGGGAGAATATATTTCCATAATATAATCAATCTATTTTTAAAATTTTTAAAGTTGCTTTCGAAATATTAGCTTTTTCATTGATGTGGCACAATTATGTGGCACTGATGTGGCACTGATATGGCACAAAACACACTCTTGGCGCAAGTGCACCATGGTGAAGCGTGCGCCACTTTTCCTATTTAATTTATGCCGGGGTTAGCTCCACCCATCCATGGATTCGCTACGGAACATGCTCGCTCCCCCCTCCTCCGCCTCCGCCTCCGACGAAGAGGGAATCAAGAATCAAGTTCTAATCCCACGGGTAGGTTTTTTTTCCCTCTCTTTGTATCGTGGACTTCATCGTTCCTCGTTCCTCGCGTGCACAGCAAAAGGGAGCTTTTCGGAAGCTCCTGGCGTTTTTGGGCCCCGGTTTCTTGGTGTGCATTGCTTACATTGATCCCGCTAATTGTACGTGTGCTCTTGCTTTTTCTCAAACCCGGGTTTCTTATTTATCATTTCCTTCCAGTTGAAAGCGATCTCCAATCTGGAGCACAGTACAGATATGAGGTGCCCTTTTTTCTTTGTTTGATTCGTTCACGCCATCTTCTCTCAGCTCTTGTGGGTTGTGCTCTTTGCGTCCGTGGCTGGATTGATCATTCAATCGCTCGCTGCCAACTTGGGAGTTGTAACTGGTAAGGAGCGAACTTTGCGATTGCGAGAAAACTTAGCGATCAGTTCTTTTTTTATATCAGGGAGGCATCTAGCGGAGCACTGCAGGACTGAGTACCCGCGGCTAGTGAAATACGTGTTATGGATTCTAGCCGAGGTGACGATCATCGCATCGGACATTCCCGAAGGTCTGGCGCATTGTTTTTCATCGCAACACTTAAAAACTCTTGTCCCTGGACTCTTGGCAGTGATCGGCACCGCATTCGCATTGAACATGCTTTTCAGCATACCGCTTTGGATCGGAGTTCTTCTCACCGGAGTGAGCACGCTGCTTTTGCTTGCGTTGCAACAATATGGAGTACGTGATGTTTTTCTTCCGTTTTTTTCTGGTTTTCTAAACTTTGTGAGAGCACTCCAGGTCAGGAAGCTGGAGTTCGTGGTGGCTCTCTTTGTTTTTGTCATGGTCGGCTGCTTCTTTGCGGAGCTGGGCTATGCCAAGCCGGAAGCTAGTGAAGTGCTCAAGGGGTTTATACCGAGATTGAGCGGCCATGGCGCAACTGGAATCGCAATCTCTTTGCTCGGCGCGATGATCATGCCGTAAGCTCGATCAATGATCGTGCTTCTTCCAACGCTCTAACTTCTTTTCTTTGTGTGACAGGCATAACCTTTACCTCCATTCCGCGCTGGTACTAACTCGAAAAATCCATCGATCGGAGGAAGCTATCAAGGCAAGATGGAGATTTTTTTCTTTTGCTCTTGCTAAGCTTTTATCTATGGATTCACAGGAAGGATGTAGATACTACCTTTTGGAGTGTGGATTCGCCATCTTCCTCTCCTTCCTTATCAACGTCTGTGTCATCTCTGTAAGCGCGACGGTGTGCTTCAGGCCGGATCTCTCTCCAGAAGACAGAGACAAGTGCTCCGACTTGGACCTCAACCAGGCCTCCTTTTTGCTTCGCGTAAGTCACCAAAGCTTCCATTTTTCTCTTTTGTAAGCTCGGGTTCTTCCTTCCCTTTAGAACGTTCTCGGGCAATGGAGCAAAGTCATATTCGCAGTGGCGCTCCTGGCATCTGGAGAGAGCTCCACCATCACGGGGACTTACGCGGGGCAGTACGTGATGCAAGGCTTCCTCAACCTCCGGCTCAAACCATGGATGAGAAACTTGCTCACTCGCAGCGTTGCCATTGTTCCCAGCTTGGTGGTCGCTCTTATCGGAGGCTCCCGGAGCGCTGGACAACTGATCATAGTTTGCTCGGTAAGAAATCCAAAGAAAAGAAGAAACCATCCATTCTAACTCGTATCAACTTCCAGATGATCCTATCGTTCGTGCTGCCATTCGTGCTAATTCCACTCCTGCGTTTCACAGGCAGCAAGCTCAAAATGGGAGCACACGTAAACTCTCTCGGGGTATAACTGGTTCTTGTTTGATATCTTTGCTTGTGTTGCTAAGATCATCGTCTTGGGCAGATTATGATCGTCACTGGTTTCATCGGTGGCTGCGTGATGACTGTCAATGTCTACTTCCTCGTCTCGGCTTTCGTGAAGTGGCTGATATCGAGCCACACTCTCCTGGCGGGGCGTGTTATTCTCGGCATGATCGTCTTCTCCCTGACGCTGCTATATCTCCTCTTCATCGCTTATCTCAGCTTGCGGCCCCTCTCGGACACAGCGTGCTTCCCAGACCCGGCCGAGACGAAGGACCTCGAGAGCGAGGTGCTGGAGGATGAAAAGGCGGCCGCGCAAGTCTTGAACCGGACAGACATCTTGAAAATGCAGCTCCCGGGGGATGTGCTCGCGGAAGACTCCGAGTGAAGATCATCTCATCCTTCCGCCCTCTAGGACGTCGATCATGTTGTACAGCCGCTTCTCTGACTTCTCTTGGATCTGAAAGCGGGGGAAAATCTCACTTTTAACAGGAAGGCAAGGAAAATGACAAAAAAGAACTTTGCACCTTCTTAGATAGGAACAAGACGGCATCAACTGTTCCCTGAGCGTAGATACTTCGGCCACAAACATTGTGCTTGAATTCAAAGAAAACACTGCAAAAGAGATCAATCAAAAGAATTTTTTTTTGTAATGAGAGATAACTTACGTGCCATCTGGTGACATAATTTTGTAGGTGTGAAATGCATGGCCATTAAGATACTGTTCCGGTACTCCCATTCTCGTCATTTGCTCCTTCGGATCCCTCACGAGCTCCACCTGGAAAATCATCAAGGAATGCAATGTACAATATAAACTCGTACGAATAATTCTTCCAACCTGCTCGTCCTTAAAGTCTAGCCCCAGCTTGCGAAGACTGGAAATGACTGCTAAAGCAGTGCCCGAAACATCAGCTTTGGTAGATTGATGGGACTCAGTCACCTGATTGATTGTTCAAGTCAGTCAGTACTACATTCCCCAACTTTTGCGTACCTGGAGAGTATATCCTGAGAAAGCTCCAGGGAATTGCTTAGCCATAATCTCCATTGCTGCTACGAAAGCGACGACCTGAGAAAAGAGAAACTAAACCTCCAAACGATCAAAAGAACAAGAACAAGTCCACCTGTTTCCCCATCTGTGGCGCAATGATAGAGTAAATTCCCGATTTTCTTGCTACATCCAAGAGCTTCTCGCGATCGCCCCCCGTTGTTCCCATCACAAAAGGGAGCCCGTGCTTGCAGTAAAACTCCGCATTGTCTAGAAGACAACCCAGTAAGAACGAGAGAAAAACACCGAGAGGAGGGATTCCTTCCTTACCATTTACAGCGGCAGGAAGAGTGTAATCGACAACGATGACATTGGGATACTCCGTGATCACCTCCTTGACAACATCCTCTCTCTCGGACACTTCCCGGACGTCCACCTCCACATTCCCAATCACGACTCTCTTGCCTCCTCTCCCCGGCCCTGTCAAGCTCAGGGGCACCAATCTCAGCCCAGCCGCCACAGCGGCCTCCGCCACAGCCTGCCCGACCTTGCCTGTGCAATCGTTCACCTGGAAATGGATATTTGACCCCGGAATCCCACACAAAGAGAGATGCCACTCACCATCACCGGCGCCGCGGCAAGGACAGGACTCTCTAGATTCCTGCCAGGCATCTCCACCGAGAGCCGCGCCGAGCACCTGGATCTTGCGCACCTGCGCTTCCTGGATTCCGTATTGGCGAGCGGCGCGATCGGGCGAGCGCCGGAGCGGAGAAGAAGCGCGCACATTCTAGCTAGCCCTAGCGAGCGATCGCGAGTGGGAGCGAGAGAATAAATCCCGGACCCAGGGTGTCCTTAGCAAAGCCCGGTCACATATAAAAGGCCCCCCTTGATAAGCTTAGCCTCATCCTTTGGCTGCTAGGGCTTGGCGCTGGGCGCGACGATGTCGCATTTTGGGCGATCGGGGCCGCCGGACATCCGCGATACGTACTCGCTCCTCGTCCTCAACATCACCTTCCGTGAGTGATTTCTTCCTCTTCGCTCCTCCCAGCGCTCGCGCTCGCGCGCTCTCTCGCGCGCTAGAATCTGCATTGGATTTCTAGGGTTTCACGGCCTCTCGATGCCCGTGTTGCAGGGACCAGCGCCGACGATTTGTTTCCTTTGTTTGATAGATATGGAAAAGTGGTTGATATTTTTATCCCAAGAGACCGGAGGTAAAGCTCGCAAATGTTGGCCTTCTTGCAGACAGTGTCCTTGATTTTTTCTTTTCTTTTCTTCCTTCGTGCTTTCCAGAACCGGGGACTCGAGGGGATTTGCTTTCGTTCGTTACAAGCACGCTGACGAAGCTCAAAAGGCAATTGAGAGGCTTGATGGTATGCTTCCATACTTTGTCTTGTAGTTCTTTGTTAAATTCTCGTGCTTGGTTACTTCGCAGGTAAGAATGTAGATGGAAGAAATATTGTTGTCCAATTTGCGAAATACGGCAGGAACGATGAGTCAATGTGAGTGAAACGCTCGGATGCTCTTGGTGGTTTTTTTTATTCTCTCTTTCTTTTCTTTTCTGCAGCCACCGTGGAAAAATAACTTCGTCCAGTCCAATCTGGCGCAGCCGGTCCAGGAGCCGGAGTCCTCGGAGAGGAAGGTTAGAAACTTTCGGACATTGAAAATTTTTCGTTGGATAGATGGAGACTTAATTCTTCTCTCGTTGATTGTAGAAGGGATTATGACGACTACCGAGAGAGAGATAGAGACCGAAGGCGTAGCCGTAGTCGCGAAAGATACGAACGCGAGAGATACCGCGGGCGTGACAGTAGAGATTACCGGAGACGGAGCTTTAGCCGCAGCCGAAGCCGCAGTAGAAGTAGAGGCCGTGGCCACGACTATCCCCGAGACAATCGTGACGGCGGCCGCGATGGCCGCGATGCTCGTGATGGTCGTGATGGCCGCGAGGGGCGAAGACGATCCCGGAGTAAATCACCCGAGAGGCAAGCGTCTCCAGTCATTGAAAGGTGGTGGCTTTGAACACTAAGCGCTTTTTTTCCCTTGCTAATTCTTGCTTTTGTTTTGCAGGAGCCCGTCGCCTCAGCCTCGTCGTAGCGCTTCTCCAGCTCCCAGGAGCCCATCGCCGGTGCGAAACTTGGGCCATCGCAGCGTCTCTCCGAGAGCAAGTCCATCGCCGGATGCGAAAAGTCCCGTGAATGGCCGCCATTCTTCTCCTAATTCAGAGCCTGAGGTTTGCATCTTCTGATCAAAAGCTTGCACCGATCACCAACAATTTCGGTTCCATCGCAGGAATCCTAATAAGCGAGCGGTGGCATGCGCCTTTGGAGTACCTTGTTAGAGCTATCCGGGGGTGGACAGTCTTAGTAGTACTCATGGAAGCTGTCCGAGGGACATCTAGCTGAGTGGAGGTGGCACCTCAGCTGGTTCGTCTTTACGTTGCATTTTTTTTCTTCTCTTGCTCTCTTTCTCACTCTTCTCTCTCGCTCTCTCCCTCTTTTCTTTCTTTCCATCACTATGATGTATGTTTCTCGCTTATTGGTATGGGAAGGCTGTTGTTGTATGTTTGTCTTGCATCTGTGGAGTGCTTTGCCTGTGTGCAGTCATGCTAACGAAATGCTTCTGTGCTTCGTCCACTTTTAGGGGGGTTTTGGTAGTGCTGAGTGGGGTCGTGCCAAAGTTGCTGCTGCTACTGCCGCTATTGCCGCTGCTGCTGACTGCTGCCTCGGAAAAAAAGGAAAAACGACTCTAGGAGGATCGCTGGTGCGCGTAAAAATGGTGCCGTTGTTGGTGACGCTGTGTTCGTGACTGTTTGCTAAGCTGATACCCCAGGGCAGTAATGATCTCTTTTTTTTTTCTAGTTTTCCATATCTTCTTCTTTGGAACTAATCCTTTGATTGTTTTGCTGACCTATCTCTTTAAGCGGGTGTCTTAGCAGGAAAGACGCATCAGCTCAGCTCAGCCATTAGCGACTATGATAAAACAGAAAGAACAAAGAAAAAAAAGTAACAAAGATAAAAGAGATGACACCCTTTGATGATGAGAGCCTTTTGGAAAAGTTTTCCTTCGGGGCCCAACACTCTTGACTTTGGCGATAATAGACTATAGTTTTTCGCCGCGCTAGTTTCCAGGGTCAGAGCTCTCCAACAGGCAAGCTGTGGCTAATCCGCGACTCTTTGAGATCCTCTCGTGTGGCGCCTTTTGTCCTTCGCTGGGCCGATTTGGCCAATGGTTGACTGGTGCGTGTGGGAGATATAATCTCTGGGGATTCTCGTCTTTGATTGTTCTCTCGTCGCCTTCGATTGGGGTGGAAGCCAAAGTAGCAAGCATCCAAGATGGCTGTTTTCGATTGCGTGCTGCTCGTGTCGATTGCTTTCCTCGCTTTGGCGCGATCCGTCCATGGCGGTGTTTCCTTCGCGAGCTTGCCGAGGAGCTTGGTCGTGACGGTGGCGATGAACGAGCAAGGGCGCTTCTTAAACTGTAAGTAGAGAGCTCTTCTTTGTTCTTCGTGGTGTTCTTCGCTTACCTTGGTTCCGATCAGCCGTGGAATCCGGAAAGGACCGACTCCTGATCAACTGGTCCGTGAATTCCTCCGTCCCAGCTCCCACAAACTTCAAGAACATCAAGCTCAAGCTCTGCTACGCGCCGCCTAGCCAGGAAAACCGCGGCTGGAGGAAGAGCACCGATGATCTCAAGAAGGACAAGACGTGCCAATTCGACATCGCGACGCAGTCCTACGCGGGCGCCGCTGGAAACTCCACCGAGTGGCTCATCTCCAAGGACATCCCGGGAGCGCTCTACTTCGTGCGAGCTTACGCGATCAACTCGACCGGGAGCCAAGTCGCGTACGGGCAGAGCACGAACGCGGCCAAGACGGAGAACATCTTCACCGTGATCCCAATCACCGGCCGCCCCAAATCGCTCTACATTGCCACCGCTTGCTTCTCCCTCTTCTCCGTGGGATCGCTCGCGATCTTCTTCACGATCGAGAGGAAGCTCGCCGCTGCCAAGAAGGGGAAATAGATCGATTTGTCTGGATCTTTGTAATGAATTTGCGAGAGCTAATCTCTTGGAAAAAAAAATGCGACTTTCTTTCTCTTTCCACGATTGCGAAACTCCACACGTTTTTTCTTGTGGCCACTCCACCGTCGCAAGTCAACGCTCTAGATTCAATCTAGCGCACACGTGGACAAAAGAATATTCTCGAGCATCGTCTGGGTTTGAAAATTTGAAATTAAGGAACATGCCCGGCGCTCGAGTTATGCCCGACTTGAAGCACAAGGAATTGAGAAATCACGGCTAGAAATTCCCATACGCGCTTCAAGAACAAGGGAAGGGCTCGCGCTTCCCAGATCTCCAATCGCGCCAGCGACGGCGACACAATGCTGCTCAGGTTCTTGCTCCTCCTAGCTCTGATCATTCTGGTGTTCGCGCCCAGCGGCAGCGATGGGCAAGCGGCGCCGCCGAGGACGAGAAGAAACTGCAACTCCAATCCGTTGGTGTGCTTGAATCCCAGGAACAGGCCCGCCGGGCCGATTTGCTGCAACAGGCGATGCGTCGACATCTTGGGCGATCCGGCGCACTGCGGGCGGTGCTTCAATCGGTGTGGGTTTGGATTCAGCTGCTGCAGGGGGCGATGCGTGGATCTGGATCGCAGCAGGAGGAACTGCGGCACCTGTGGGAACGTCTGCCGCCGACCGCTGCGCTGCGATTTTGGCATCTGTGGCTACTGAATCAGATTTATTGCCACATAGTTCGTCCCTCAATCGATCGATAATATAGAAGTCTCTATAAATATTCGTGGAAAGAGGTATTCATTCCCTCCCTGATTTGTTCGATCTATCCGGAAATAGGATCCTATTGAAGAAATAACAACAGCGCATGAAGAGCACAGCGACCAAAAATCCCGATTTGTTCCGAGAGGATTTAGACGAGCTTGTTAATAGGCTGTGGAAAATAACGCGATCTTGGCTTTGAATCACGGTTTCCTTCGAATAGCTAACTTTCAAAGCTCAACATAGAGTAGTTTTTACGTCATGCAGTCTATGAGATGATTTGTCTGCCCACTTCCTTAGATTCCAGCGAATTCTAAGCAAAGTACTACCGTGCTGTCATTGACTGGAGACTCTTAAAAGTTTTTAAAATCATAGTAGCTAACCATTTCGACCCCGGACTACATTTGAGCTCTCCAGCTAAAAATGATAATCAAAGTCAATGTAATGTCAATGAAAGTCATGGCTTAGCACATATTTGTCTATGACACGTCAGCTGATATGATACAAAATTTCACTAATTTGCACTCAAGTAGAAAAAGAAACAGAAACTTTCACTGAATTCTGAGCTGCTGTTGTTGTTGCTGTTGCTGCTGCTTGGCTTTTGCAGAGAAAGTGTTCTCTTTTGCCCGTGCCATATGCTCAATCCTCTGCTGCGAGGCCGTCTGCCTCGTGTCTTGCCCGTCCCTGATCACCGTTAGCCATTCCCCTTGCTGCTGCTGTTGCTCATTGCTAGCTTGAGCTCCACCGCCACCGATTGAGAACCTCTTCATCCGCTCCGCGAGAGAAGTAGCAGTAGAAGCGGTGGATGGCGCTGGCGCAGCGCTACTACTACTGCTGCCAACGCCGCTCTTCTTGGAAGTGGCGATGGAGGAAGAAGACGAGGACGCTTGAGGCGGTTGCATGTCGGACGAGAAGCTCACGCTCTGCTTCTTGATGGCGGGCTTGAGAGAGGGCTTGGGCGTGCGGAGCTCCGGCGTGTCCTCATCGATGGTTTTCAGCGGCTGAGGAGGCGGACTCTCCGCCGTCGATTCCCTGGGCTCTACATGATGAGGGCCGTCGATCCCAAACTGGGCGGGATATGGCGGGGGTGTCGCCGGGGACGACGACGCCGTGGAGGGCGACGTCGACTGCTCGGCGCAAACTGGGCAATTCATGGTGGAGAAGAAGCGCGGCTTGTCCTGGATGCAATCGATGTGGCAGGAGTGATTGCAATCCCAGGGCGCCACCGCCTCGTCCTCGACGATCACGTCGTGGCCACAGATCGCGCAGGCGTTGGCGCCGCCGGCGGTGGTGGCGCCGGCGGATCCCTGCGGCGCCAGGAAGAGCTGGCGGTGGGAGAGATGCGCGGGGCGGACGCACTGGACGAGGAAGCGCGGGGCGCCGCTGGGCGAGGATTCCATGGCCTCGGCGGCGAGAATGGACGCGTTTGCGTCGCCCGGTGGGAGCGAGTAGTGGATGAATCCCTGCTGGTCCATGGAGGTGGCCATCTTGTGGAGGTGCGTGGCCAGGAGCTGCTTGGGGACGTTGACGAGGAGGCCCGCCTCGCGCACCCAAACCCTAACCCCCCGCGTGGACAGTCGCCTCACTTCGCCCAGGAGCCACTTGTGGCGATTGCAGCGCACCGCCACCATCTCGCCCTTGGCGTACTGGATCGAGAGCGGCGAGGGCAAGGGGAGACACGATCCCCCCGCGGCCCGGGGTGTGGTATTGGCGGAGAAGGAGGGATTGGGAGAGGAGGAGGCGGAGCTCATGGATGATGATCCCGGGGGCGTTTGCTGGTGCTGCGATGGGGCGAGCGAATCCCATCGGGGGCTTGTGGGGCTCTCGGGGTGGGAGAGGTAGCGATCCAAGCTGCTGGGCGCGTAGTCCTTCTTCTGGCTCTCCAGCCAGTCGGCGATGTCTACTCGCTTGGTGCCCATTTGGGGGAGAAACATCGCCCAGCCCTACAACAATATAACGGAATGCCCCTTCACATTCCGGGGAAGCGCGAAAGTTCGAATATGCCAGAAGCATCCATACCCAGACACGTGTCGGGTTTGAGAATGCGCCACGGACCCTCACACGTGGCATCTAGTTTGCTTGTTCTCCGCGGAGTGAAAAAGAAGAGCATCGCAAGAAGGATCCTAGGGATTGTGTTTCTTTGTGACTAGAATCGATCGCGATGAAGCAAGCACCAGGGCAGGACAAGGGGGTTTCCGTGGCGGAGGGCCTCAAGAACGCGGGCGCGACGATGCAGGAGAACTTGGAGAAGGCGGGAGCAACGATCTCAGCGCAGGTTAGGGTTTTTTCTTTTCTCGCTTAGAGTTTGATCCCCGGGATTGCAATGCGCGATGTATGCAGGCCGAGAAGATGAAAGGGGCAGGGGACGAAGAGGCGGGCATCGCCGCGGATTTGACCAAGGACACGCGCCAGGCCGCCGCCACCGACCGAGCTGAGGCCAAGAAGGCGCAGCACCACGAAGAAGCTAAGAATCCAGACGACCATCCAGCTCCATTCACCAAGACACCGTTTGTATAGAAACACTTCAAAGAAAATAGTTCTTGTCATGTATGATCCACATCGGTCAAACAACCATTGTGAACGCCGCTCATGTGATATCCTTCTTGGAGAGCCAGCTGTGCAAGATCAGGTCAAGATCGGCTGTAATCATGGATGCTAAATCTAAAACTTGCCCTAAAGATTCAAATTGTACTCAACTTAGTATTGTTATTAAGAGAAACGTGGGTATTCAAATTTGAAGATTAAAGGGACCATGAGTGATAAGGTTTTGAATTTGCATCTGTATTCTTAGGTGTTCAATTAAGCATTGCAAGACCCTCAAAAACATATCTTCTTTCATTGTCTTTGACTTGATGACTTCACACCCAACCAAGCAGCCAATTCACATAAGCGGGAAAGCTTTCCTTTCTTACTGCCACAGTAGGCAAGGTTGAATTCCTTGTCTCCACCTATATTCATTCACTTAACTGTTTACAGGGTTTTATAGTGCCCACCAAGAAGCATGTACAACACCAGCATCTCTATACTGAAAACCTTCAACCTCATCAAAGAGACAATAGGGTGCAGATAGTGCATTTGTCCCTATACAGTGTGAAGGGAAGAAGCTTGGATTGCCAGGAGCGCGCTGGACCCCATATGAAGTCCGACATCATGATGAGAAGGGGATGATTTCCAAAGATACACTGCTCTAGTATTGGCCTCAGCCCCAGCCTCTCTGGTAACTCGACTGATCAATGCATTCCACGAAAGTCAAGCAGTTATTGATCCAGCACACCGTTCAATATAAAAGATGGCAGCCATTAAAAAGGTTATTTTTGTGGGACAGGGACATGTTGCGTCTCAACAGAGCTCTCCATTTTGGTGGATCAATGTGGAAATCGTCGAGTCCACACATCTGGATCGAGCTTAAAGCGACAACGCTGTGAAAGGTGGCAAGTCATACGGTCTCACGGCACTATATTACCGAGGATCTCGTTGGACTCCTCCCCTCAATCTTTACAGGTTCGAGGAAAACAAGCATTTCACTGTCAAAGCATTATTTCAAGTGGACCATATAAACAAATCTATACATATTGCTTTCATGCCTTTAGAAAAAATGTATAAGGATTTAGGGCATATCAATAAAATTTTAACATAGAATAAAAAAAGCCCTACAAACGGGTGAATTATTTACGGACACTCTGTTTTTAGGGTTCTAGTAGAGGCGCTCTGGAGAGCCAGCAACCACATCCTTGTACAAGCTGCGACCTTCACCGCCCTCCACATCCTCGCGGTGCTTGGCACTGCCCTCCAGGAATGGCTCGCCTGATTCGCCGCGCATGCGGTTAAGGCTCTCCTGCGCGCCACCTCTCAGAAATTCGCCGCCATGGCCAGGACCTTCGCGCTCCAGGCGCTGCAGCGTTGAGATCCTCATCAGGTTGACAATTCCGCCCAGAACAAGCAGCGCCGCGCCCAGGATCGCAAACCAGGTCGCATTGCTCTGCGAGAAGACAGAAAAATTTAGGGTTTTGAAATTGAAAAGAATCGAGTCCATTACCTGGAGCCTCCTCTCCACCGTCTTGGGCCAGTATGGCAATCCGATCACTCCTCCACACAGCAGTAGCGTGCTAGCGATGACGAAGCACACAGTGACCCCCCGCTCGTAGGCCTGGACGCCCAAGCTCGCGCGCTCGTAGAGCTGGAAGATGTTGTGGATCGACGCGAGCAGCCACAATGCCGGCCCCGCGATGAGCATTCTCAATCCGTGGACCGCGAGGGAGTTCCTGGTGTGATGCGAGTACCTCCCCTTGGCAGTCTGCACGATCGATCGATCCAGGGGATCCAGAAAATTCAAACCAGAGACTGGAACTTTTTGTGCTTACCAGGAGCAAGAAGAGCAGGCCCAAGAACACGAGGAACGATCCCAGCGCGGTGACGACGGGCACGGCGATCTCGACCAGGATGTACTGCGGATCCACCTTGAGCAGCTCCAGTTTGAAATCCACGCCGGCGAGGTGGGCGTATAGATCATGCAAATTAACAAGGAGGATAAGGATGGATCCGGTGAGGGCGAGGATCAATCCGAGCTTGCTGTTCTCGTGGCTGGGGAGCTGGAAGATCAAGCCGGCAAGGATGAGCACCGCGCCAAGAACATAGATGAATCCATTGATCCCCTCGAGGAGCTCGCGGTAGCCGCCAGGGGCGTAGAGCCGCGCTGTGCGCGAGGAGACGAGCTTCACCATGGCGAGAGCGCTCCTTCCCTAGATCGATCGACCAAGGAGTTTTAGGAATGGGAGAGAGAGAGAGAGATCTGGCGCAAGGAATCAAGAATATGGAGCTCTTATAGCTGGGAAGGGATGAAGATGAGGGGAGGATAGATGTGATTTTGCTTTGGCAAGGGTAACAAGGGAATCTGGGAGGTGCGGGCGCTGAGCAACTGCCAAGTGTGTGTTTGCATGGCGAGCGTGGCACGTCATAATCCACGGCTGCTAATGGGACACCATTATTATGTTCATGCATATCCGAGCACGTGACCTTGACGTGGCTGCCACCTGGTCCTTGCGCTACTGACGTGGAATGCGTTTCGTGCTGCCAGCTGTCCCTGCCGGATATTTCCTGGGTGCTTTTGGGCCACAAAATGTCGAGCTAATAAGCGGTCTAGAAGCTTCTCATGGATGCCACTTTAGGGTTTAACAGTGATTTGGGGGTTTTCGTGTTGGTGGAAGCAGCCGGATAGCAATGCCGAGCCCGGTGAAGAAGGTGAGCGCTGGATTGATGGAGATCCAGGGTACGAGGAAGCTCGGTGTACGTATGTGGGGGTATTTGCCGGCATCGTCGCCGCAGAGATCACCGATCGTCGTTCCCACCAAGGTGTCGCCGGCGAGCCCCGACGATGGGTGGAGGGCTGTGTGTAGTGGAGGTTGTGGTTTTGCTCTAGCTCTCTCAGGTAGGAACAGAAACGAAACAGTCGCAAGAATGCAGATGGAATGAAGATGGGTATGCAGCCGCTTGAGTGAGTGAGTTCTTTCCCTTTGTGTTACAAGCCTCTCTTTCTTTTTTGCCGTGGGTCTCGTTGTTTTCTCGAGCTTATCCGCTCGATCGATCTCACAGTTTTTCTGTTTGTTCTGTGCCTTGTTTTTAAGTTGCAGACTCGGTGAAGTTGCTGCTTTGAAGACCAACAAAAAAAGAGAAAAAAAACACTGTAACCATCCAGTTTTAGCCCATTGCCTGCCTGTTTATTGCATTTTCCAAATGCCTCCTTTAGCTGACATCCTTTTCCTTTTGTATTGATGCTCTTCGTTTTTCTCGGTGGCAGTTTTGCAGATGCCAGAGCTTATCTTCTTCAGTAAAAAACAATAAAATTCTAACTTTGTGTTGTGGCTTTTGTTGTTTCTTCCTTTGATGGATCCTAACACAACAGAGAGTGGAAAATTGCATACTTGGGGCTCGACTGATGATCTTGGGCAGTGTTACCACATTTCCGGAAAACACCAGGTATATTATATTCTGCCAACTTAACTTTGTTTATCTGCAACTTCTGTGTTCAGGAGCATCCGGAACCTTTCCCATTACAAACACCGCCAGCGATTTTTGCAGCTGCAGGCTGGGCCCATTGCGCTGTTGTGACAGGTTAGTGGAGGTTTGAGCATCGGGAAAAAACCGATCTTTTCGTTTCAGAGACTGGCGAAGTGTATACGTGGGGATGGAAGGAATGCGTTCCAAGTGACAAAAACTGTGTGGAGCAGGGTGTTTCGGGAGATCCTTACGACTATCAAGGACGAACCGAAGAGTTAAAACACGTGGAACCCGACTTGGACTCGAGTCCCGGGCACTCCCCAGAGGCGCGTCGTAGGCTGAAACGGGCTGGACCCGACCACAATTCTCCAGAGAAACACCGACTAGGATCAAGCAGTAGCAGAGTACAGAGTCCTCGCAGTGCTCTAAAGGTCAATGACAAAGTTGATTCCAGCAAGAAACGCAAAGTCAGCACGGATGAAGCTGGCTCTCCTGACAGTCCTGGAGCTGGTGTCGACGAAGCGGTGGTAGCACCTCTGTGCTGTGTTCCAATGCCTGCCAAAGTTATTCTTGTCGCAACGGGAGGGCGACATACTTTGGCACTTACAGGCAAGTTTTTCCGTGGCTTTTACTTTCTTTCGTTCACTCTGTCGCTCTCATAAGCGTTTTGTTTCGGATTTTAGACACTGGCCAGGTATGGAGCTGGGGATATGGAGGCGAAGGTCAGCTGGGCCTGGGTACTCGCATGCGCACGGTCTCGTCACCGCAGCCAATACCGCTGGAGCCGTCAACTTACTGGCTGAGAAAAGGCAACAGGGCTGGTGCAGTAAAGCCACCGGGTAGTTATATAGTTGGAATTGCTTGTGGTGGGCGACACAGTGCAATCTTAACAGGTTACAAGCTTGACGATATCTACAAGTCTGAAAGTTAGTCTAAAAGTTTTTTGCTGTAGATGGTGGAGCTGTTCTGACTTTCGGATGGGGACTCTACGGCCAGGTAACGTTTTAGCTGTTTTACTTGTCGTGTCCTGAAGAAAAGTCCTGTGTTTCAGTGTGGGCAAGGCAGCACAGAAGACGAGCTCAGCCCAAACTACGTGTCTTCTCTTGGTGGTCTCCACGTTACAGCGATCGCATCTGGGCTTTGGCACACACTGTGCATCACAGATACTGGGGAGGTGTACGCTTTTGGTGGGAATCAGTTCGGACAACTCGGCGTTGGGGGCGATCACTCGGAGGTGGTGAAAACTCTTGATCAAAAATTCTTCAAGCTTAACTTAACCACTGTCTTGTTTGCAGACGCTCCCTAAGCTTGTAGAGGCCGCGGTGCTGGAGGACGAGTGCGCAAAGTCAGTGTCCTGCGGTGCTCGACACAGCGCAATAACCACAGGTACTGAGCTCCACAAAAATCCGCATTTCCAACCAGAAGTTGGTTTTTTTGTTCTTTTGAGCAGAAAAGGGGAAGGTTTTTTGCTGGGGATGGAACAAGTATGGCCAGGTAAGTAGCTGTATTCTCTTTTTGCTTGCAAAGCCCTCTTGATGATTTTGGAAACTTGGCAGCTAGGACTTGGCGACACGGGCGACCGTGATACTCCTCATGAAGTTCCGCTCGAGCACCGGGCAGTAAACGTAGCGTGTGGGTGGTGGCATACTCTCGCGCTCACAGACCAACCGTGATCGATCAAGGAGTGTTTAGCTTGATTGTAAGATATTGTTACCAGTGTTGACCCTTTTAGGCCAGTCAAACCTGGTAAAAAGTGTTTCATTTCTTACTTATTTAATTGACTGGCATTGAGTTTTAACTGTAGCTTTAAAATAGGTTGTGACCTAGATTTCTGGCAATGGCTGTGGCCAGAGCGCCCGCGAAGGTGATCCTGTGTGGGGAGCATGCCGTCGTCCACGGATCCACTGGCGTGGCCGCCGCCATTGGGATCTACACGCGCGCACGGATCGAGAGAGGTAAGGCGCGAGCTCTGGCGCTGGCTGCTCGTCTGATCCCTCATCGCCCAGAGCAGGAGACTCCCCCAGCTTTCTTCTCGTGCTGCCTGATCTCAATGTGACGCTGGAGTGGTCGCTGGATTTCATCCGGCAGGAGCTGGGGATTTCGGCGCTGCAGGAAGTGGATCCCATGGCTGTGCGGCAGGATCTCGCAGGGAAACTGGCGGCATTGCTGGAGAAGCGAGGGACTCGTGGAAATTGTGAGCTTCCTCCCGAGTTTTCTGGTGGAAAACTAGCAGGAGTGGTGGCTGTTTTGTTCCTCTACGTCTCCATCGTCGGGTAAGAAGGAAAGATGGTTTTTTCTTCTCTTTGACAGGAGCCAGAGGTTCTTCCAGGTTGAAGCCGGTGGTCTTGACGATCGAGTCGGAGATTCCCATGTCTTGCGGGCTTGGATCCTCGGCAGCTCTAGCAGTCTCAGTGGCTGCCTCGCTCCTCGCTTTCGCTCGTCCCCAAAAGGATGGGAAACTTGCTGGGAGCAATTGGATCGGCGTTTGCGAGGACGACGCACGGCTCATCAGCAGCTGGGCTTTCGAGGCAGAGAAGATCATCCATGGAAATCCATCCGGGATCGACAATACAGTGTGTACTTTCGGTAGTTCTTGCTTTTCTTTTCTTCGTTTACACAAGATCATGATCTTGGCAGGAAACGTTGTCAAGATGAAGAATGACAAGAGAGAAGTGCTCACAAACCTGGCCTCGCTGCAAATGCTTATCACGAACACCAAAGTTCCCAGAGACACCAAGAAATTGGTGAGCGGCGTTCGTCAGCTCAAGGAGAAGCACCCCAAGGTCATGTCTGGCATCTTTGATGTTATCGATTCCATCTCGGAAGACTTTCTCGGGATCCTCCAGTCACAGCCCGCGACTGTAAGCAAGACTTTCGCGTCTCCCCAGCGGAGAATTCACTCGTTTACGTGCTTCGCAGGATCAGTCCCAGCAGGAAAAGCTGGAGGAGCTCGTCGTTTTGAACCAAGGTCTTCTTGGAACGATTGGAGTGAGCCATGCGTCCATTGAGAAGATTTGCAAGATCACAGCCAAGTACGGCTTGAAATCCAAGCTCACCGGAGGAGGAGGTGGCGGCTGCGTGATCACTTTACTTCCAAGAGGTAGAAAGCTTTTCTCAAGTCTTCTTTATGTTCTTCTCCTAACCCTCGCTCGCTCGTGCAGGACTGTCTCCAAAGGTCTTGGAACAAGTGAGCGACGATCTAAACAGCTCTGGGTTTGAATGCTTACAAGCAGAAGTTGGTGTTCAAGGAGTCCAGATTTTGCAATAGCATCAAAGGTTTGCCCGATTTAAGACTGGTTTTTCTCCCTGAAGCACTTGGTACATTCGCACGCGAAGCCGTAGTCCGACAGCATTGCTTGTCTCTCGGTGTACGATAAATCTTCCTCCTCGATGTATGAGGTGAAAATCTGAAAACCATTTTGAGTGAAAACAAGAAAGAAAGATTTGATTCACCTGTTCTCCTTTCATGATCTTCCTCGTCGCAATTATCACAGCATTGCCATTTATGTCCTGAAAAAAACTCGAGTCAAATTGTGGTCTATCCTCTCTACAAAACAGACCTCATCTCGCTTAAAAGCTTTCGCATTCGGCTCGCAAGAGTGGTTTATGCAGCTGTGCAATGCGAAAAACCCAGAACCTGGAAGTACATTCAAATTCCACGAATAGTTCTGGACGTTAAACCCACCTTGGCAGAAGGAAGCGTACTTCTCGCCCAAAGCCCAAACAGTGGTCGAGTAATTTGTTCTGTTTGTTCCTGTGATTCAAAGACGTGGCACTAGTCCATCCATGTTATCTTCTAGTTACCTTGAGAGCTGGCTCAAGATCTTGAATGTAGAGAAAGTAGTTTTCAACGGGTGAGGCGACGACGACATCTCTGGAAAAAGCCGTGTGACTCGAGATTCTCAACGACAGAGATGGCTTACAGGTTGTTTAGCTCGAACATGCCGATGATGCTCCCATAAATCTCCAAAGAAAAAACTGGTGGTGTCAAAGAAAACGCCAAAAGAAACAAAGGTTTAGGATACGAGGTGCAAACTCCGGCTCCCACAGCGCAGCTTTGAGCTGGCTCAAGGACTAGAAAAAACATGAACATGTTAGTGTACATAATCGTTATGCTTTGGAACTTACTGCTTCCGCTACTTCCTTGATTTGGCTCCTGAAAGATGCTTCTTCTAAAGGATCAACGTCGTCTGGAAGAGCCACGGCTTCCCACCACCTGAACTTGGCGAAATTAAACTCTTACGAAGCGAAAAGCGTACTTACAGACGCTTTTCTCCCATGGCAAATGGTTTCCACGCCTCAAGGAGTGTATTTCGGTCTGTAACTCCACTGCTTTCAGAAAGCTTTTTCGTGCGAAGCATAACCTTCGCAATCAACTGCACAGAGAACGTAAAACATAGTCGCAAAACAAAGAAACAAGCGAAGGCTACCTTGCTGGCCAAATGGAAAATGTCGTTGGTTTCTGGAGAGGATGAAAGTCAGGACGAGTAGAGAACAGCAGTTTACCATCAGCAAATTCTTTGAAAAGAACAAGCTCGTCCCTGTGTTGTGAAACACCATTGCAAAGCAACGAGTGGTGATCATGCCAGGCCCTTTGTGCACACGATTTGCTACTCGCAAAAGGAAGCAAGCAAGAGTTATGAGAAGGAAGTCGCAGCGCATTCACAAACTTACCTGCAGTAAATCTCCGAGCATCCACCAGAGCACTTGACTACCTCCGGTAGCAAAAACTTGTCTCCATGAGGAAGAGAGAAACCATCACCTTTTAGAAGAGCTAAAGCTTCCTCCGAAGAAACACCATGCCGGTGGTGGTCTTCTTCTTCATCTTCGTCTTCGTGATAGCAGCACGAGTGAGTCTCTGGAGCTTCAAGTTTGCGTTGTATTTGGAGCTGGATGGAACCGACGTAGCGAAAGCAAAAGCCACACACAACCGCATCGTTCTGTCCATGAATGAACAAGAACAAGAACAAGAACTCGTAAAGCAAAACAATTCCAATCAAATACCTTGTTATGGCTGTGCTGTGCAGCAACGAGAGGCTCTTCGATCAAGATCACCTCTTCCGCGTCAAAATCTCTCTCGGCAAAGAGGCCTGCAAGATCTCCAAAGCTAGAATTCGCGAGAGAAACAAGCACAGCGATACCTTTCCCCATCGTCGCGGTAGATTTCACGCGCAATGCGGCACCGGTCAGCTGAGAATAATACTCCTGATGCATCAAATCGTGTCAATCCACAGCGCTTTGTCAGGATCGAGCCTCGAGTTACCTCCATTTGCTTCCAAGGAGGAGAAACGAGCAGCGCGCCACCGTCCTCCATAGCCATGGGCGATAAACCCTAACAAAAACCTCCGCATTGGAATTAGGGCATCCTTGCCAGATGGCTCAGCAGAGGCGCCGGCACAGCAGCGGTGAGCGCCAGGCTCGTAGACCAGGCTCCAATGCTCTTGAGAAGGCTGGAGATTCCCAGCAAAGCACTGGATCGCGGTTCAAGCACGGCATTTTGGCCTTGGTGCTTGTTTTCTTCTTCTTAGCGTGGTATTTCCATTATTCTAGAGATCCACTCGCTAGTTCTTTGGGAGGAGGTGAGGATCTGTTCTACAGAGATATCTTGAAGGTATGCTAAATCGATTTCTCCATGTTTTCTTCATCCATCGCTTTGATTTTCTCCATTTTCCTCAGGCAGCATCGCGAGCTCCGCGTGTTGGAGCTAAGAGAAAGCTGAATGGCACTGTTCTCGCCTATGTCACGCCATGGTTAGTTCTTGATTGATTGTTCTTCTTTCTTTCTTCTCATGGATGATCTTTTGTCGCAGGAATTCCAAAGGATATGATATGGCAAAAAAATTCCGGCACAAGCTCACTCATGTTTCTCCTGTGTGGTATCAGCTAAGAAGGTAGGCTTTGCTCCTCACTGTTGTGTAAGTTGATTGTTCTGTAAATTCTGTAGAGATGACAAAGGCATGAGTTTAGCGGGCAAGCATGATGTGGATCAAGGATGGATTTCCGAAGTGCGAAAGCAGGGATTTCCACTGGTATGATCTTATAGTTTTTATGTGTATCTATCAAGTTTTTGGTCTTGTGATTCTTATGATAGTTACTTCTTTCAGTGACCATTTCGCGCAGATTGTTCCGCGTGTGGTGCTTGAAGGCTGGTCCTTAGACAGCATGCTTGTGAGTGCAGACGAGAAGCAAAAGGCAATCAAGCTAATCCTCGAAGAGTGCAAGTACGTGAGTCTTTCATCTTTTTCTTTTTTTGTGATTTTCTCTTAGGGAGCAAGCTTACGATGGCATCGTGCTGGAAGCGTGGAATTCCTGGGCTTCTTACAGAATACTCGAGAACCATCGTTTACGTGAAAAGGTTTGTAAGAAACAATTTCAAGAACATTGTCTGACAACAAGAAATCTACAGGCTCTAGCATTTATCCGAGAACTTGGCTCGTCCTTACACAAGCTCAACGCTGCCAGCGCCACCCGTCCATTGCAACTCGTGCTCGTTATACCACCCGAGCGTGGAGGAGGTCCGGAAGAGTTCACGCGAGGGGACCTCCATTCTTTGCAACACGCCGTCGATGGCTTCTCGCTCATGACTTACGATTTCTCAAACGCTTATCGTCCAGGCCCGAACGCACCGCTTCCCTGGATACGCTCCTGCCTCAACTCTTTACTCGCAGGGAAATCCAACGAGGTCTCTTCCAAGATCCTGATGGGAATAAACTTCTATGGAAACGACTACGTTCTTCCGCGAGGTATGCTAGAGCTTCTTGCTCGAAACACTTTCTTAACGCTAGTTTCATTCTAGGTGGTGGAGCTATTGTTGGCGACCAATTCTTGGAGCTTCTCAAAGAGTACACTCCCAAGCTCGTATGGGATTCGATGAACCGAGAGCATTACTTTGATTACTCCAAGGATCAAAACAAGCACAGGGTCTACTTCCCCACTGCCAAGAGCGTTACTTCGAGGCTAGAAGAGAGTGTTTCCGCGGGTGTTGGAGTTTCTATATGGGAGATTGGCCAAGGCTTGGAGCATTTCTTCGACCTCTTGTAAAAATGTCTTGCGTGGTATCATTAAAAATCCAAACCATCTGAGGAATCACGATGCATGTCAACTATGGCCATGGCCGCGGACGCAATTCCACTCACCCAGAAGCGTTCCAGCCAGAGCGTTTTCTCAGCTCCAGCAGCGCTATCCCTGCCACTTCGATTTCATTCCATTCTCGTCGGGTAGGAGATTCCTATTTGTTAACCCTACTTTTCATGGAGCTATTGTTGGCGACCAATTCTTGGAGCTTCTGATCCCGGGATTCGGTGCACTACTTTAAGGATCAAAACAAGCACAGGGTCTACGTCCCCACCGCCAAGAGCATTTCTTCCAGGCTAGAAGAGAGTGTTTCCGCGGGCGTTCGAGTTTCTATATGGGAGATTGGCCATATAGACCTCTTCGACCTCTTGTAAAAAGTTTTTGACTAGTATTATTAAAAAATTATTTAGCAACACTTGGTTTGCTTAATAATAGTGTTATTCTTACTTGTTAATCCAATTGATTAAATAAAGTTTGTAATTATAAACATGTTTGTAATTTATAAACACAAGATTAATCTTATTGTATATGATAGAATAAAAAGAATATACTAGAAAGGGTTTAAGAAAGTTCATAAATTATAAACATGTTTATAAATTATAAATACAAGATTAATTTAAATGAATAACAACCGTTAGATAGTAAAATATTCTAAAATATTCAAATATATTCTCCTATAAGTTTTAAACCATGTGGGCGGCTACTACTGCTACTGCGAGTTTTTTATGGGATCATGCATGCCACGGGGCCATCCAACAGAGACGGCAGCCTTGCGAACCCCGCCCACCGGGGGTCTTCTTTGATCCTGTCAAGTTCTCTACAATATGGCCATGGCCGTGGAGATTCAGACCTTTGAAGCGATGGACTTAGGTGTGGCTTTGTTTGTCCTGGGCATCGCCTGGATCACACTATCACTCCTCATACGGAGAATTCGATCATCGCAACAACGGCGCCTCCCTCCAGGTCCATTCTCTTTCCCCATTTTTGGAGCGCTCTTCTCCCTCGAGGAGCCACTCCACCAGCACTTTGCAAAGATCAGCAAGAAGTATGGGCCGATCGTCTACCTCAAGATCGGAATGGCCCCGTTCGTGGTGGTGAACAACAACGAAATGGCCGCACAGGTTCTTAAGACCCACGATCTCGAGTTTGCAAGCCGGCCGGACGACGAGTTCTTTCGGATCGTCAGCCACAACTGGAACGGTCTCATCCTCGGGCCTATAGGTGATAAGTGGAAGACCATGAGGAGGATTTGCAGCACACACCTGTTTAGCAACAGTATGCTCAAGGTAAGCGCAGGATTCCGGGAGTCGGAGATGAAGCATACAGTCAAGTCCATTTTCCAGCAATCCGAGACAACGATCAATTTGCAAGAGGTTTTCAGTAGTCTCTTGTCGAATTCGCTATGCCTGGTTCTTTTTAGCGAGCGGGGGCTGGAGGTTATGGATCTCAGCCAGAAGATAGCATCTCTAAGCTTGCACCTGAACATCGGTGCCCTGCTTCCGGCACTTGACGGGCTGGATCTCCATGGAATCTACAAGAAACTCAACAGGGAGCTCATGCCTCGCCTGAAGCTCTTGCTGGAAGATCAAGTCGACAAGCATCGACGCAGAAAAGATCAAGCTGGGGACGGGTTCGTCCCTCGAGACTTCACTGACGTTCTTATATCTCTCGAGGACAAGGATAAATTGCCAGACATTTCCATTTTGGCACTGCTCGTGGTAAGTTTTACCAGCATCGTGATATTGGTTTTTTTCACTTCTTGCGACAGGACCTGGTTGTTGCAGGGTTGGAAACTTCACAAGTGACGCTCGAGTGGACAATGGCGGAGCTCATAAGCCATCCCCGAGTCGTGTCCAAGGCTCAAGCCGAACTGGACAGCGTTGTAGGGAGAGCTCGCGCGGTGCAAGAGTCCGATCTTCCAAACCTTCCATACATCGATGCCATTGTCAAGGAATCACTGCGTCTCCACCCGGCGGCCCCACTGGGAGTTCCTCACAAGAATCTCAAGCCCGTCAACCTGGGCGGCTACACCATCCCCGGCGGCTGCAAGGTTCTCGTCAACATATGGGCCATCGGACGCGATCCCACTCGCTGGTCCGACCCAGGAACGTTCCAGCCGGAGCGTCTTCTCGGCTCCAGCAGCGCCATCAACGGGCAGAACTTTGATTTCATCCCATTCTCATCGGGCAGGAGAGTATGTGCCGGCTATCCACTGGCGATGAGATCGATCGCGTTTTACGTGGCCAGTTTGCTCCAGGCATTTAATTGGCATGCTGCTAACCCGGGCGGGATCGACATGGAAGAGCGCACGAGAAGTACAACGATGAAGCTCAATGCTGACTTGCTCGTGAACGCGTCCGTCAGGCTCGATCAAAATATAATTTGCAGCTGAGCTATAGGCATGTGATGAGCGTTGAGATCGCGCGTTAATAAATTTAACTATTTATTATTTAAGTTCTTTATCATTAATATAAGCTGGACTAGCTAGAGCGTGTGGCTGTTAACCACAAGGTCAGAGGTTCGAATCCTCTTTCCAGCGTAAGACTACTCCCATTCCCATGTCTTGCGGGCTTGGATCCTCGGCAGCTCTAGCAGTCTCAGTGGCTGCCTCGCTCCTGGCTTTCGCTCGTCCCCAAAAGGATGGGAAGCTTGAGGGGAGCAATTGGATCGGCGTTTGCGAGGACGACGCACGGCTCATCAGCAGCTGGGCTTTCGAGGCAGAGAAGATCATCCATGGAAATCCATCCGGGATCGACAATACAGTGTGTACCTTCGGTAGTTCTTGCTTTTCTTTTCTTCGTTTACACAAGATCATGATCTTGGCAGAAAACGTTGTCAAGATGAAGAATGACAAGAGAGAAGTGCTCACAAACCTGGCCTCGCTGCAAATGCTTATCACGAACACCAAAGTTCCCAGAGACACCAAGAAATTGGTGAGCGGCGTTCGTCAGCTCAAGGAGAAGCACCCCAAGGTCATGTCTGGCATCTTTGATGTTATCGATTGCATCTCGGAAGACTTTCTCGGGATCCTCCAGTCACAGCCCGCGACTGTAAGCAACACTTTCGTGTCTCCTCAGCGGAGAATTCACTCGTTTACGTGCTTCGCAGGATCAGTCCCAGCAGGAAAAGCTGGAGGAGCTCGTCGTTTTGAACCAAGGTCTTCTTGGAACGATTGGAGTGAGCCATGCGTCCATTGAGAAGATTTGCAAGATCACAGCCAAGTACGGCTTGAAATCCAAGCTCACCGGAGGAGGAGGTGGCGGCTGCGTGATCACTTTACTTCCAAGAGGTAGGAAGCTTTCCTCAAATCTTCTTTATGTTCTTCTCCTAACTCTCGCTCGCTCTTGCAGGACTGTCTCCAAAGGTCTTGGAACAAGTGAGCGACGATCTAAACAGCTCTGGGTTTGAATGCTTACAAGCAGAAGTTGGTGTTCAAGGAGTCCAGATTTTGCAATAGCATCGAAGGTTTGCTCGATTCAAGACTGGTTTTTCTCCCTGAAGCACTTGGTACATTCGCACGCGAAGCCGTAGTCCGACAGCATTGCTTGTCTCTCGGTGTACGATAAATCTTCCTCCTCGATGTATGAGGTGAAAATCTGAAAACCATTTTGAGTGAAAACAAGAAAGAAAGATTTGATTCACCTGTTCTCCTTTCATGATCTTCCTCGTCGCAATTATCACAGCATTGCCATTTATGTCCTGAAAATAACTCGAGTCAAACTGTGCTCTATCCTCTCTACAAAACAGACCTCATCTCGCTTAAAAGCCTTCGCATTCGGCTCGCAAGAGTGGTTTATGCAGCTGTGCAATGCGAAAAACCCAGAACCTGGAAGTACATTCAAATTCCACGAATAGCTCTGGACGTTAAACCCACCTTGGCAGAAGGAAGCGTACTTCTCGCCCAAAGCCTCAAACAGTGGTCGAGTAATTTGTTCTGTTTGTTCCTGTGATTCAAAGACGTGGCACTTGTCCATCCATGTTATCTTCTAGTTACCTTGAGAGCTGGCTCAAGATCTTGAATGTAGAGAAAGTAGTTTTCAACGGGTGAGGCGACGACGACATCTCTGGAAAAAGCCGTGTGACTCGAGATTCTCAACGACAGAGATGGCTTACAGGTTGTTTAGCTCGAACATGCCGATGATGCTCCCATAAATCTCCAAAGAAAAAACTGGTGGTGTCAAAGAAAACGCCAAAAGAAACAAAGGTTTAGGATACGAGGTGCAAACTCCGGCTCCCACAGCGCAGCTTTGAGCTGGCTCAAGGACTAGAAAAAACATGAACATGTTAGTGTACATAATCGTTATGCTTTGGAACTTACTGCTTCCGCTAATTCCTTGATTTGGCTCCTGAAAGATGCTTCTTCTAAAGGATCAACGTCGTCTGGAAGAGCCACGGCTTCCCACCACCTGAACTTGGCGAAATTAAACTCTTACGAAGCGAAAAGCGTACTTACAGACGCTTTTCTCCCATGGCAAATGGTTTCCACGCCTCAAGGAGTGTATTTCGGTCTGTAACTCCACTGCTTTCAGAGAGCTTTTTCGTGCGAAGCATAACCTTCGCAATCAACTGCACAGAGAACGTAAAACATAGTCGCAAAACAAAGAAACAAGCGAAGGCTACCTTGCTGGCCAAATGGAAAATGTCATTGGTTTCTGGAGAGGATGAAAGTCAGGACGAGTAGAGAACAGCAGTTTACCATCAGCAAATTCTTTGAAAAGAACAAGCTCGTCCCTGTGTTGTGAAACACCATCGCAAAGCAACGAGTGGTGGTCATGCCAGGCCCTTTGTGCACACGATTTGCTACTCGCAAAAGGAAGCAAGCAAGAGTTATGAGAAGGAAGTCGCAGCGCATTCACAAACTAACCTGCAGTAAATCTCCGAGCATCCACCGGAGCACTTGACTACCTCCGGTAGCAAAAACTTGTCTCCATGAGGAAGAGAGAAACCATCACCTTTTAGAAGAACTAACGCTTCCTCCGAAGAAACACCATGCCGGTGATGGTCTTCTTCGTCATCTTCTTCTTCGTGACAGCAGCACGACTGAGTCTCTGGAGCTTCAAGTTTGCGTTGTATTTGGAGCTGGATGGAACCGACGTAGCGAAAGCAAAAGCCACACACAACCGCATCGTTCTGTCCATGAATGAACAAGAACAAGAACAAGAACTCGTAAAGCAAAAAAATTCCAATCAAATACCTTGTTATGGCTGTGCTGTGCAGCAACGAGGGGCTCTTCGATCAAGATCACCTCTTCCGCGTCAAAATCTCTCTCGGCAAAGAGGCCTGCAAGATCTCCAAAGCTAGAATTCGCGAGAGAAACAAGCACAGCGATACCTTTCCCCATCGTCGCGGTAGATTTCACGCGCAATGCCATGCCGGTCAGCTGAGAATAATACTCCTGATCCATCAAATCGTGTCAATCCACAGCGCTTTGTTAGGATCGAGCCTCGAGTTACCTCCATTTGCTTCCAAGGAGGAGAAACGAGCAGCGCGCCACCGTCCTCCATAGCCATGGGCGATAAACCCTAACAAAAACCTCCGCATTGGAATTAGGGCATCCTTGCCAGATGGCTCAGCAGAGGCGCCGGCACAGCAGCGGTGAGCGCCAGGCTCGTAGACCAGGCTCCAATGCTCTTGAGAAGGCTGGAGATTCCCAGCAAAGCACTGGATCGCGGTTCAAGCACGGCATTTTGGCCTTGGTGCTTGTTTTCTTCTTCTTAGCGTGGTATTTCCATTATTCTAGAGATCCACTCGCTAGTTCTTTGGGAGGAGGTGAGGATCTGTTCTACAGAGATATCTTGAAGGTATGCTAGATCGATTTCTCCATGTTTTCTTCATCCATCGCTTTGCTTTTCTCCTTTTTCCTCAGGCAGCATCGCGAGCTCCGCGTCTTGGAGCTAAGAGAAAGCTGAATGGTACTGTTCTCGCCTATGTCACGCCATGGTTAGTTCGTGTTTGATTGTTCTTCTCATGGATGATCTTTGTCGCAGGAATTCCAAAGGATATGATATGGCAAAAAAATTCCGGCACAAGCTCACTCACGTTTCTCCTGTGTGGTATCAGCTAAGAAGGTAGGCTTTGCTCCTCACTGTTGTGTAAGTTGATTGTTCTGTAAATTCTGTAGAGATGACAAAGGCATGAGTTTAGCGGGCAAGCATGATGTGGATCAAGGATGGATTTCCGAAGTGCGAAAGCAGGGATTTCCACTGGTATGATCTTATAGTTTTTATGTGTATCTATCAAGTTTTTGGTCTTGTGATTCTTATGATAGTTACTTCTTTCAGTGACCATTTCGCGCAGATTGTTCCGCGTGTGGTGCTTGAAGGCTGGTCCTTAGACAGCATGCTTGTGAGTGCAGACGAGAAGCAAAAGGCAATCAAGCTAATCCTCGAAGAGTGCAAGTACGTGAGTCTTTCATCTTTTTCTTTTTTTGTGATTTTCTCTTAGGGAGCAAGCTTACGATGGCATCGTGCTGGAAGCGTGGAATTCCTGGGCTTCTTACAGAATACTCGAGAACCATCGTTTACGTGAAAAGGTTTGTAAGAAACAATTTCAAGAACATTGTCTGACAACAAGAAATCTACAGGCTCTAGCATTTATCCGAGAACTTGGCTCGTCCTTACACAAGCTCAACGCTGCCAGCGCCACCCGTCCATTGCAACTCGTGCTCGTTATACCACCCGAGCGTGGAGGAGGTCCGGAAGAGTTCACGCGAGGGGACCTCCATTCTTTGCAACACGCCGTCGATGGCTTCTCGCTCATGACTTACGATTTCTCAAACGCTTATCGTCCAGGCCCGAACGCACCGCTTCCCTGGATACGCTCCTGCCTCAACTCTTTACTCGCAGGGAAATCCAACGAGGTCTCTTCCAAGATCCTGATGGGAATAAACTTCTATGGAAACGACTACGTTCTTCCGCGAGGTATGCTAGAGCTTCTTGCTCGAAACACTTTCTTAACGCTAGTTTCATTCTAGGTGGTGGAGCTATTGTTGGCGACCAATTCTTGGAGCTTCTCAAAGAGTACACTCCCAAGCTCGTATGGGATTCGATGAACCGAGAGCATTACTTTGATTACTCCAAGGATCAAAACAAGCACAGGGTCTACTTCCCCACTGCCAAGAGCGTTACTTCGAGGCTAGAAGAGAGTGTTTCCGCGGGTGTTGGAGTTTCTATATGGGAGATTGGCCAAGGCTTGGAGCATTTCTTCGACCTCTTGTAAGAATGTCTTGCGTGGTATCATTAAAAATCCAAACCCTCTGAGGAATCACGATGCAACAGTTGTCTAGATCTTGTCAACTATGGCCATGGCCGCGGACGCAATTCCACTCACCCAGAAGCGGAGCGTTTCCTCAGCTCCAGCAGCGCTATCCCTGCCACTTCGATTTCATTCCATTCTCGTCGGGTAGGAGAGTTTGTCCTGACTATCCACTGGCGATGAGATCGTTTTACGTGTGGCCAGTTTGCTCCAGGCATTCGCTTGGCGTCCTGCTAACCCGGGCGCGATCGACATGGAAGAGTCCACGGCAAGTATGGCGATGAAGCTCAATGCCGCCTTGCTTGTAAACCCGGCTCGATCAAAATATCATTTAGACATCTGTTTAGGATCAATTTGTTAACCCTACTTTTCATTCTAGGTGGTGGAGCTATTGTTGGCGACCAATTCTTGGAGCTTCTGATCCCGGGATTGCACTACTTTAAGGATCAAAACAAGCACAGGGTCTACTTCCCCACTGCCAAGAGCGTTTCTTCCGGGCTAGAAGAGAGTGTTTCCGCGGGCGTTGGAGTTTCTATATGGGAGATTGGCCAAGGCTTGGAGAATCTCTTCGACCTCCTGTAAAAATGTCTTTGACTGGTATCATTAAAAATTTAAATCATGTCGTGGGCTGCTAACTGCGAGTTTTTTATGGGAGCATGCATTCCACGGGGCCATCCAGCGGAGACGGCAAGGTGCCTTGCGAACCCCGCCCACCGGGGTCTTCGTTGAGCCTGATGGCTATGGCCGTGGAGATCCAGACCTTTGAAGCGATGGACTTAGGTGTGGCTTTGTTCGTCCTGGGCATCAGCTGGATCATACTATCACTCCTCATAGGGAGAATTCGATCGTCGCAGCAACGGCGCCTCCCTCCAGGTCCATTCTCTTTCCCCATTTTTGGAGCGCTCTTCTCCCTCAAGGAGCCACTCCACCAGCACTTTGCAAAGATCAGCAAGAAGTATGGGCCGATCGTCTACCTCAAGATCGGAATGGCCCCGTTCGTGGTGGTAAACAACAACGAAATGGCCGCACAGGTTCTTAAGACCCACGATCTCGAGTTTGCAAGCCGGCCGGACGACGAGTTCTTTCGGATCATCAGCCACGACTGGAACGGTCTCATCCTCGGGCCCATAGGTGATAAGTGGAAGACCATGAGGAGGATTTGCAGCACACACCTGTTTAGCAACAGTATGCTCAAGACAAGCGCAGGATTCCGTGAGTCGGAGATGAAGCATACAGTCAAGTCCATTTTCCAGCAATCCGAGACAACGATCAATTTGCACGAGGTTTTCAGTAGTCTCTTGTCGAATTCGCTATGCCTGGTTCTTCTTAGCGAGCGGGGGCTGGAGGTCATGGATCTCAGCCAGAAGATAGCTTCTCTAAGCTTGCACCTGAACATCGGTACCCTGCTTCCGGCACTTGACGGGCTGGATCTCCATGGAGTCTACAAGAAAATCAACAGGGAGCTCATGCCTCGCCTGAAGCTCTTGCTGGAAGATCAAATCGACAAGCATCGACGCAGAAAAGATCAAGCTGGGGACGGGTTCGTCCCTCGAGACTTCACTGACGTTCTTATATCTCTCGAGGACAAGGATAAATTGCCAGACATTTCCATTTTGGCACTGCTCTGGGTAAGTTTTGCCAGCATCGAGATATTGGTATTTTTCACTTCTTGCGACAGGACATGGTTGTTGCAGGGTTGGAAACTTCACTAGTGACGCTCGAGTGGACAATGGCGGAGCTCATAAACCATCCCCGAGTCGTGTCCAAGGCTCAAGCCGAACTGGACAGCGTTGTAGGGAGAGCTCGCGCGGTGCAAGAGTCCGATCTTCCAAACCTTCCATACATCGATGCCATTGTCAAGGAATCACTGCGTCTCCACCCGGCAGCCCCACTGGGAGTTCCTCACAAGAATCTCAAGCCCGTCAACCTGGGCGGGTACACCATCCCCGGCGGCTGCAAGGTTCTCGTCAACATATGGGCCATCGGACGCGATCCCGCTCGCTGGCCCGACCCAGGAGCGTTCCAGCCGGAGCGTTTTCTCGGCTCCAGCAGCGCCATCAACGGGCAGAACTTTGATTTCATTCCATTCTCATCGGGCAGGAGAGTATGTGCCGGCTATCCACTGGCGATGAGATCGATCGCGTTTTACGTGGCCAGTTTGCTCCAGGCATTTAATTGGCGTGCTGCTAACCCGGGCGGGATCGACATGGAAGAGCGCACGAGAAGTATAACGATGACGCTCAATGCTGACTTGCTCGTGAACGCGTCCATCAGGCTCGATCAAAATATAATTTGCAGCTGAGCTATAGGCATGTGATAAAACTGTTTAGCGTTGAGATCCGCGCGTTAATAAATTTAACTATTTATTTTTAAAGTTTATTATTATTAATATAAGCTGGACTAGCTCAGCAGGTTAGAGCGTGTGGCTGTTAACCACAAGGTCAGAGGTTCGAATCCTCTTTCCAGCGTAAGACTACTACATTTTAATCAATTGATAAGCCTTGCACTAAGATAATATCAAATTTAAGTTTTGAGATTTACTTTCCAGCGATGGCCTCTTTGATCGATCGGGTCACCGACGAAATGCCACTGGCTTCCTTCGATCCATCTTGTCCTTCTCGAGATTTATCCACATCACTGGCATTCTCATCGAAATGATCTCTAGCAGCATCGTATTTGTCCTTGAGCTCCTCCTTGGCTTCGTTGATCGCGGTGTAGCTGTCTGCTCCTTCATCCGGTGCGTCCTTCTTCTTGTCGCTCGCATTTTTCCTCGCGTCCTCAAACCTCTTCTGGACGGACTTCTTCGCCTCCTCGATCGCGTCGTATGTTCTATCCCCGCTCTGGAAGACTCTTTCACGAGCTTCGTCCGAGCTGCGATTCAAATCCTCCAGGATCTAAGAATGGGACAGGAGAAATCGGGAGGCCTTGTAGAGAAACTCACCTCTTGCCAAGCTGGTCAGAGATCGACGATCCATCCTTAGCTTGGAGTTGCTCCTCACTCTTGCCCTGCGAGATTTCGCCACTTGAGAAGAGGGAAAGAAAACCTTTTCATACCGCGATTCCCTTGTTCTTGCCCGGCTCGCCGTGACGAGCGACATGCTGCGCTAAGAAATTCCCCATATTTTCCTGAGCCTGCCCTCTGTAGCGAGCGATCGTATCAAACTCCGACTCCTGGCCACCAGCATTTTCCTCATTCTGATTTGCCGCATCGCGAACGACTGCGTCAAGCCCCGATTCACCTTCTTGCGCTCTCGCCATTGCTCTGCCCTGCCGAAGAACCCTAAAACCTTTAAACACCAATAGGTGGACCAATACACGTGTCACCACGTGGTCATTGGAGAGAACGACACGTTACAACGCCACAGCCTTACACGCGTCAAACTAAGACCACATTTACTTTCGTCACAGCCACTTTGTGAACTCTCATCACTTTTCGTTTAGATCGCATTTATCACAAGCCACTCTGTGAACTCTCATCACAAGCTCCTTGCATGCTTCACGCTCAAAATCCCACCTTTTGTCTACGACCATACCAAGCGCTGCAGCCAGACTTTGCCGGATGGGAGAACCAGCTCCAGTTCACTAGGCAACTCCCGTTCTTGTTGGATGGTGCATGCGAAGCAAACCCTGGGAAGCCTTCCACCGTCAAGCTCATATGCCAAGTAGCTACCAAGTGCATTCCCAACCGCCTTCAAAACTTTGGGATGCAAGCAATCCGTCGGCAGGAGGGGCAATCCCACCCAAACAGCTGCTTTGATATTCCCAACCTCGTTGGGGTTGAAGTCTTGCTGGAAAGGCTGGAAGAGGATCACGCGATCTTCATACTGCGCAAACCGCTTCTCCAGCAACTTCTGAACATCCAGCGAGTTTGCGAATGCCAGCTCGAAGAAACCGTTTGCCAGGAAACGAGCACCAACATACGAGTGCACGTTCCAGCTCGTACAGGCCAGGTTTTTGAGGACCTCCTCAGTGATGACGTCTCCGCTGCATGAGCCCAGCACCAGATGATCTTCCAATCCTCGCTTGAAGAGTTGCAGTTTCATGTCTCGCAAATCGACCCTCCGCACATGACCAGGATCGTAGCCGTTTGCATCCTTTGCCAGCTTCTGATATTCTACATCTTCATCTATACTGGTTTCGTCTATGAATCCTGCTAACCAGTCTAGGAAATTGTTGAATGAAGGAAAGGAGGTACTGTGCTGGTTGGTTGTAGATCTCGTTTTTGAACTACTCGGATCCAAGACAGTAGCAGATTCATGTTGGTCGGTATTCGTCTCTGAAGTGTTCTCAGCTGCTTTCCCAGTTTCTGGCTTCTGCTTTATCGGTTCTTTGTCTGCTTCGTGCTCATGCCCCATTTCCGCTTCATTCAGAGCAGATATGATCTGAACGTTGGCTCTGATGAGATTAACGTTTCTGGTTTTCAACAAGCCGAACACCTCGTCCGTCAGGGTTATGAAGTCGCAGTCCGTGAGGTCCATTTTTCGGAGCTGTGGTGCTGCAGCCAAAACCTTGGGCAGTTCTCGAATGGGAATTCCTTGCATAGATATCTCTTCCAAGCTGATGAAGTAGTCACCGCTTAAATCAACCCATGGTAACGCTCTCAGTTGCATGCATTGCTTCAAATCCAGCTTCTTCAGCCTTGGAAGCAGTCCTATACTCGCAGGTAAGCTAGATATTTGCGTGTTGTTCAAAACCAGCTCCTCCAAGTATGAAAAATATCTCAACGCTTCCTCGTCAGGGAGCTCTTTCAATCCGGCACAGCCACCCAGGTTCAAGTGGACAAGGTTGGGCAGCGCCTTGGGATGTATATCCAAGTGTTGCAGGCGCGCACAAAACGGCAGTTTGAGCATACGAAGACGAGGAAGCGCCCCTGGTTGCAATTCTGGAAATGCTTCTAGTCTTCTGCATCCCGTCATGAAAAGCTCTTGTAACGAAGGAAATGCACCTGAACTTCCGAAAGCCTCTGGTAGAGATTGCAAGGACAAGCAGCCTTCAAGATCCAGCTTTTGAAGCCATTGTAGTTCCTGCAGATCTGAAGGAAGTTGCGACAACGACGTGCAGCCACGAAGGTCGAGAGCAAGCAGTCCCAAGAAGGACTTGGCGAGATAGTCCGGTAGCTTCTGGAGTAATCTGCAAGTGTTGACATCGAGAACCTCTAGAGCGGCCAGAGACTGGAGCTCGTCTGGAATGACTGAAAGTTGTTCGAAGTAAAGGCTGAGATGTACCAGCCTGGTTGAAGAGATAGCAGGGAAGCGTTCTGTAGTTCGGCTGCTGATCCATAACCTGGTCAACATTTGCAAGGCTGCTAGATTCTTTAGGCCTTGTATTGGAAGTTCAGATGTTACACAGCTGCAAGGACTGTGCCGGTTTTGGTCCCAAATATCTCCACACCCTCTTGTGTTGAGATAACGCAAGTTGACGAGATTCGATACTTTGTGCACTGGAAAGCTCTTCAATGGACAGTTTTGCATGTTCAGATGTTCCAACTTCACCAGCCTGCCCAAAGAGTCCGGCACAGATCGGATGCTGCTATAACTAATGTCGAGGACGACCAACTCTTTGAGCTTCCCAATCTCCATGGGAAGAGATATTAAGCCCGTCCTGCTCAGGTCCAGTACACGGAGCTTTTTAAAGCTCCACAGAAACCGTCCGGTAAGATGTTTCAGCTGAATGTTGTTGCTAAGGAGTAGCACTTCCACATCCGGAGCCCGAGTTCCAAGCTTATCGACGTTCTCCACCTGATTTCCTATCAAAGAAAGCTTCTTAGCGTTGAACTTCTCTTGGCCAGTACCTTTGCATAGTCCTGCAGGAAACTCCCTTCCAGACAGAAACAGGCACGCATACTCAGTGGCCTTCTTCTGGTTTTCCAATATGTAAATCGCCATATCCCGAAGCACATCGTGTATTTTGCAACTCAAGAACTTCGTGTTCTGGCTATATGTCCAACCTACTTCCAGATCCACGAGTGAGCGTCCTATAAGCTGGCCCAGAATGTAATAAGCCTCAACCTGAGGATCTTCATCGTCTTTGTATCCTATCAAGCCATCACCAATCCAATACCCAATGAGCTGCTCCACCTCTATAACTGCATCCTCAGGAAAGGCTGCGAAGTAGAGAAAGCACTCTTGCAGTGCTCTGCCTCGGGCTTTGTCAATCATATCGAGTTCGTCATAGCTAAGCTTGAGTCTGTGATACACCTGGTTCTCTTGTTCCTCGTTCAAAACCTCGGCATTCTTCAACTTGCGTAATGTAGAATCCCAGTCGCCTAGCTGCTGCTTGCCTGCCATGCTTCCACCAATGACTTTGAGAGCTAAAGGCAGTCCTTTGCACTCAGAGACCACTTGCTTTACTCTTTCGGCAAGTATTGGTTCCATGTCGTGTTCTAGCTGTTGCCGGTCTTGTCCCGGAAATGCACAGCCACAGAAGAGATTCCAACTATGCTCATCCGAAAGCAGTTTCACTTCGATGACCGTTGATGGCACCTTGTCAAAGACACTGTTGTTCCGGGAAGTCAACAGAATTTTGCTGCCTGGAGCATCCACCACATCAAACCACTGCAGCACATTTCCATCCCACACATCGTCCAAGATCAACAACACTTTGCTGTTCTTCAAGCAGTTGATGAGGGTTTTCCTGCCAGCTTCCTCGGATGAAAAGAGCTGCTCCCCACGGCCGATGTGTTTGCGTAATCTACTTTGCAACCTGGCAATGTTGGGATTTCGTGCAACCGTGAGCCAATATACCTTTCCTCCAAAGTGATTGTTCACCGATAAACTGTTAGTGACAGTTTGTGTCAACAGCGTCTTTCCTGAACCTCCCTTGCCCCAAACACCAACCCATCGTCCTGTGCCATCTCGAAGGACTGCTTCAAGTCGGCTGCTCAATTCCTCCAGTCCAAACACCAGCTTCGGAATCGGCTGAAGTTCTGTAGTTGGCTCGTCGACCACGTCTAAACCAGCCGAGTGACTCGTTGCTTCATTCGTTATCTCAAAAATCGCACGATCTTTGCTATAACTCTCAGACTGTGTGCATCCACAGGTCTTTGCCGAAAGTGAAACGTATCTGTAATTGTCTTGAAGCAACCGTAGTACCTCACTGCATTGTGTGACAACCTTGGCAGACAGGGCCACGTTCCAAGTACTGGCAGCCTCGTGAAGTTCCTTTATCTTGACCAGAATACTCATGATTCTGCGCGAGAGCCTGTACCTGCAGAACGATGCACTGATCAATTGATGCGTTACTCAGAAGAAAGAAGAATGCATCTTACTTGACGAAAACGTTGAAGGAATGCACGCTCCTGCACTCGATGATCACTGCCTGCGCATCTTCTAGGCAGGCCCGAAGGCTTGCAAGCCAGGTGTCAGCAACATTCTTGAGCTGCGGATTGTTCCCAAGGCTCCCCAGTTCAGACACGACCGGCTTGACACAAGAATCCACCATTTTTGCTAATTGCATACAGTATTCCCGGCACATCACAACCTTAGCCGCTTCTACTATCGCCAGGTGCACTATCTCTGCAATGAGCGCCGAGACAAAGCCTGGATCCACCATGATTCTTGCTCGTGGCCTAAGATCTATCTCTAGGCGTCTCACCTGATCATTCGCTCCTGAGGCGAGGGCGGTCAGACCCGTGGACGAGAGTGGCGAGATGATTGACAGGATGTTCGGAATCCATCTGACCCCTCACGCAAGCGATTCAAGATTTTTTGAGGCCTTCTAAAATCAGAATATGTGACTTTGGGAGGAGCCCGATGGAAAACCGTGCTCAAGGTGTCATACAACACATCTTTCATAGATCAATTTTATGGGCATTAAATCTTTATTGTCAACCACAACCATGTGGATACGTACTCTAACTCCATAAAATATGTTTTTGTTGACATTACAACCTTGACCTTCCAACAAATTGCATTTGAATTATGTTTATATGTGAGCAAATGCGAAGATGAGTTTGGATGGCTGGAACAACTTGCGTGTTTCAGTTTCCCACAGTACAGCTCAACGGACTGATCAATTCAAAGGGTGACATGGTTTGGGGGTCGTACCCAGAACGGTCGTAATCAGTTTTTTAAGTGTTCTAAGGGGATGGATCCAATTTATTTGCAGTAGACTTACTGCCAAATGTTGAGCCTATTCAAATGGTACTGAAGTATTCATTATATATTGTTTACATGACTATGAAGCATTAGACTAAAACTTTAGAAATGCTGTTTTTTAATAAGATTGCAGTGCTCCCACCGCATTCAGGTTCCTTGCTGCTAAGGAGAACATTCTAGTGATGAGGAAATTC